CATAAATTAAACTAACTCACCTAATAATTAATAAAAACTTATATATATATTTTTAACATTTTTTAGTTTTTTTTTTAGGTTGGGTCGGGTCAACCCGACCCACAAAAACACAACCCATCAACTAAAACAGGCAAAAACAGATCGAACATAAAAAAAGAGAGTAAAATTACGGTTCATCATTTTCAAAAGAAAGAACACATTCATCATAAAAAGATCACATTCATCAACGAAAAACAAAAAGGAAAGCACATTCATCAGACAAAATGAACTGAACAATTTTTTTTGATTTTTCATTCAATTTCAAACGGAACATGTACAAGCTTGAACATTAAAAAAAAAGATGCAGAAATATTCACCAAAATAAGAAAAACACCCAAGGCAGAGCTTTTTTGGGTAAGATGGATCCAGATCTGATGGGAGGGATCCCACCCACGGGACCAGGCTCCCATCGTCCCCTTCACCACCATTCCCAGAAGGCTCCTCTGTTCAGAAATTACCTAAAGTAGAAGCGAACACAGAGAAATTAGCCTCCCTTTCAACCGCCGTCAGCACCAAGCTCAAACCAAAGAAAAACCCCTTCTATTGCTCTCGAAGCTCAGCCGAAACTCCCCAACAAAACAGACCCAATATCAACCAACAACCCCCCCTCCTGATTTTTTTTCCATATATATATACCCAAATAAAAAATAAAATAAATAAAAAGACTTGCTCCTGTCAATCAGTAATGATGAAGATTTCGTCTGGCATGTACTGTAGCGAGCAGGAGTGCAGGCGCAGTGCAGCAGCAGTGGCTGGCGTGCAAGCAACAGGGGCGTGATTGCAGGATCAGGCGCGCAGAGGAGGGGCGTGATTGCAGGCGATCTGGGCGCAGAGCAGGGGTGCTGGTGCGTAGGGCGCAAGGCGCGGGCTCAGGGCGCTGGGGTGAGGGGATCTGGTGCGGGAGCTGGTGCGCAGGCCGCGGGCTGGTTCGGGAAAAAATACAAATTTGATGGGGAAAGAGAAGGTTCCAGACACCTTCTTTTTTTTCTTTTTTTTTTTTGTTTTTGGGTTTGGGTTAAATGGGTATTGGGATTTTGGGCTTGGGTAGTTGGTAGGCTTGGGTTTTGGATTTTTGGGTAATTTTTGGTTTTGGGATTTTGGGCTTGGGTAGTTGGTAGGCTTTGGGTTTTGGGTAATTGGGTTTGAGTTTGGTGGGTTTTGGATTGGGTTTGATGGGTTTAAGGTGTAAATGGGTTTTGGGTTGAACTTTAATGCATTTCACCCTTCAACTTTTCAGTTCTTCAATTGAGTCCATTTCCTCATCTTCTTTTCCAATCTTCTTCGTAAAATTCCCTTTTTGCCCCTCCAATTTTTTAATAAACCTAGCAAGTAAAACAAGACAAAACATATTAGTTAAAATAAAAATAAAAATAAGATAAAATTCTACTAAAATTTGAGTTATGACAA